TAACTTCCGGGAACGGCGAAGCCCCCACCCGCGCACCCACGCACCCGTGCCCGCTCCTTACCCAGTTTTTACGAATTCTGCGCTTCCACGCATGCGCAGAAAGCATACAGCGCCTGCGCGATCCTCCAGGAGCAGCTGGAGCATCGCGCAGACGCTAGTACGCATGTGCGTGCCGCGTCCGTGCACGCGCGCACGCGCGAGGACGGCGCGTGCGTGTGCGAGGACACCACCGGCCTCGTTCCAACCGAACCGGTTGGAACGGGGCGAGAAACCCACCCCTGCATTACATGTATTCATAATCATGTTTATACTTATATCTGTTTTCTTAAACATATTTGACAAATAAAATAAATCAATAAATAATAAATTACCGCCAAGCCCAAGTCCAGGAACCACCTCAGAGTTGAGCAGCCTGTCTGCCAAGTAAAAGCGGTCAAAAGGCACTTTGGAACCATGTAACTGTGGCGAACTGGTAGAGCCTTCACTTTTTCTCTGCCCTGGCGGCATGTTTGCAATGCCTGTTTTGTGGGACTCAGCAGAGTAACACCCCCCCTCCCAAAAAAAAACAAAAAAACAGGTGGCAACCCACAGAAGCAACTCTTCGAAGAGAGATGAGGGGATGGCTCTTGTCAAGGGGGCGTGGGAGTCGTTTTGTTCTGAAATGTTGTCCGGCATCTTTGTCTAAGTTATTCAAATTAATGGGCAAAGAGATCTTGATCAAATGTATTTTAAAGAACAATTGTCAGCATAGAAAAACTGATCTTATTTCCAACAAATATGGATAATAGAAGAAATGTTTGTCTCAAATTTTGTTTAAAATTTAGTTAATTTAGTTAATTTGAAATGTGGTACCATCATTTTTTTAGAAAATAGTTTTCCCCCCCTCCAAAAATGCATCTGACACTTTTATGCATTCTCAAAGGGAATTCTACAGTATTCTCTTTTTAAAAAAGAATTGTAAACTGCAAGTTGCTGATCATAAAAGTGCTTTTCTCTATAACATGAGAAATATTTTTCATCTAAATGCTAAAGAGTACTGGAATGCTTCGCCCTTTCCTTGCCCTTTGACTATTGGCTTCTGATGGGTTCATAGCGCTTTGTCTGCCTGGTTAGCTGAGAACTAGGGTTTTACGTTGCTTCATACATTTTACCATTGTCAACTAACATCCTGCCATACTGTTGATTGGCTGTCAAACATCAGATGTCTAATCTTAAGTGTTGGGCTGCAGTGGCATACCAACTGTTTAGGCCAAGGAAGATGATGGAGAATGGAAAGTCACCATCATGGTCACCATCATGATAACATTAAAGAAGACTAGAGTAAGAATGGCATGCAAGTTTTTTTTTAATATTAGTTCCAGTGGCATTATGTGTTACTTTCCATTTTTTAGTAAATAAAACTTTACTTTTACATTGCATCATACAGCAGAGTTCCTAACTAGCAGAGGAAAACTAGTGGAGGAGCCGAGGTGGCACAGTGGTTAGGGTGCAGGACTGCAGGCCACTTCAGCTGACTGNAACCCCGGACCAGATTCATGTGCAGAAGGCGCACCTCATCTCCTCCTCCTCCTGCCCCGCACCACATTCCTTCTCGTGCGCACCGGCCGATCTAAGGAGCTGATCCAGCCTCCCGCCCACCCCGGGATCCCCAGAGTTAGGCGTCCACCCCGGGATCTCCAGGCGGGGGCCCTTCCAGTGCTGGAAGGACCCTCACCGTTCCAACCCGGCTCCCTCCACCATCACCACCTTCCCCGAAAGGAAGACGAGGCGGGCGCTTCTTGCCCGCCTTGCTGGAGGCTGCGAAGGATGGGAGGTGGGCACAAAGGGAAAAAGGAGGACGGCAGATCGGGCGAAGGGGAAGCCAGGCTCGGCACGGAAACCGTAGCAGGCAGCCCACAGGCCGAAGCCTCGATCTCGGCAACAAGGGAAGGGCGCTGCGCTAGCCCTGTGGGTGTCGACCACACGCGCCGATCAGAAAGCCTCTCCCATTGGGGAAACACAGCCTGCCGGCCTGGCCTTCCTTCTCCGCCTCCTCCTCCTCCTCTCCCACCTCGCGCCCAAGCCCCAGCCTGGAAGGCTGTTCCCTGCCTCGCGTGGCCTCCGCCTCCCTGATCGCCCTTCCTGGGTTGCCGCGGCTCCCTCCGTCTCTGCCGCAGGCGCAGGTTGACGGCTTGGCTGCTGCACCCCACCCCCACCCCACCCAATCTAGTTCAGCACCCGGCCGGGCCGACCGCGCGCTTGTGCAAGGCGCTGCAGCTCCTGGGCAAGCCCGGGGCGGGCATGCTGGCAGGAGCATCGGAAGGGCGGCAGCGGCGGCTCCTGCGAGGACCCTACCCCTTGGAGTGCTCCGTCTCCTCCTCATTGTCGCCGTCGATGCCGCAGGTGTCCTGATCGTCCAGCTCGAGGCTTTGCTGACTGGCGGCAGACTCGCTGTCCTCCGCCATCACGGGGAGAAGGTGGGTGGGAGGGGAGGAGGGACTCCCCGACAGGAGCCTATGAAATGCAGCCGGTTCGGCGCGCAGGGAGATGGGCCACAGCCGCCGGAGCAGCGCCTCCTAGCGGCCGGCTCCCTTGGATGCTGCCAGGCGGAGGTTCTTCATCCCCCGCAGGTACAGAGATTCTCCCCCCACACCCCACACCCGATGCCCTCCTGCTCGTCCGAGGAGCTGGATCTTGGAGAACGGCTCTTCAATGAATGCCATCGCTCTTCCGACAGGCTCCCCGTGGGCGCTGCTCCGCCCCTGCAGTTACATCCACCGAACAGTCCGTTGAGGTTGGTTAGAGCAGAGGGAGCGGGGATGCCTCGCCCCGCAAAAGCAGCCTCGCATGAAGCCGGGCTGCTCAATGAAACATCCTGGGCCAAACATTGAAATTCAAATATTTTTACTACCGGTTCTATGGGCGTGGCTTGGTGGGCGTGGCATGGAATGGATACTGCAAAATCTTCATTCCCATCCCACTCTGGGGCCAGCCAGAGATGGTATTTGCCAGTTCTCAGAACTACTCAAAATGTCCATTACTGGTTCTCCAGAACCTGCTGAATCTCACCCCCTCATTTATTTGTACCCATTACATCAGGCGTGGGTTTCAACCGGATC